CTCTTCTTTTTTTAAGCAAATGAAAATACATTCGCACCTGTAGTTAACCTCTAAAAAATATCACCAACTCTTCTTATAACAATTTTCATATAATACACGAAAATATGTGTTCTAAAAATATACTCAAACTTGAAATGTATATACACTACTTTTACAAGTCTCGTTTTAAATTAATTGTGTCATTCGCATGTATATATATACAATAGTCTTAAGCAATTCGTTGGTCTTATATAGAAGCAGCGGGTTTGTAAATGATTTGAAAATGAGATTATATTTACATTCTTACCCAAAAAAAGAAAAAACGGGGTTGTAATTCCGATAAAAAAATAAAATAAAAGAGAATCGAAACTGAGACGAATAACCTTAATTATGGTTTCTTTATTAATCTTGTGGATGAATAATACAAACCATTAGATTCTTATATATAAGCCTCAAAACTTTATACTAACAAGAAGGTGAACAATTTATTTTAGAAACTCGATTACAAGCTGTTTAATAGATGTTGTCTCTAAATTTTATACAAATTATCTATTATCTTTTAAATATTTTCTGGACCTCCAAAATGTATCATATGTTTGGTTTTAAATTGTGAATGTAAGTCATCTATCACTTTATAATCACGTGTGTTATCCGAGAATGTCTCTGTGTTCTTTACTCGATTATCAGTCACAAAATTCTCGTTGACTGTAGTTATGTTAAAGATACATATATCGTAAAAGGGTTCTTAAATGGGTAAAAAACCGCTTCTCATCTGAGGACTCAGCATAAATGTACTATATACTTTTCTTCCCCACTCGATCTTTTTGGCAAAGTTTTGTTTAAATCTTTTTGCTGACCAATACCCAATTTTTTCAAGTTGAAACGTAAAATATCAGTTACCATTTGCCTTGTCCTTTGATCATAGTCACATCAAAAAAGAAATTACTATTATTATGAAACAAGTTGTATATGTTTGTTTGAATTTTTTTTTAGTTAAACCCATGTAACTTCTGAAAAAGAAAAAACCCATGTAACTTCCAAAATAAATAAAACTTATTGAACTTCACGTGATTTATTGACTACATTCGTTCATTTTTAAAAATATTTTGTTTGATATATGTTCTACTTTTTTATTTGTGAGATAAAAATTTGTGAAGCATAACAGTTCAACAATAAAGTGTTGAGTACACAAGATCTCACAAATCATAAATTAAGAAAAAAATTAATAATTAACAAACCTTGACTAAGCTATATTCATCTGAATAATATCCCCCAGAACCACGAATAGTAAGAATCAGAACAAGACCAAGAAGAATATCTGAACGAACAGATATGAACCCCGACGAACACATGCTGTTATAACTGATTTTCACCTGCATGTACCATTTTATATATTATTATACCTAGCGTTCAATTATCTAGAAGACAGAAAACATAAATTTTAATAAATCTGTTAATCATACATATATTAGTAATAAACTTACTTTGGTATACACAAAAATTCGAGTTTGTTATCAGAATATAATTTTGGATTTACCTAAAATGTAAACAAATTCAAGGCAACAATATTAATTTAACTATTTAAAAATCTTAAACGAGTATTAAAATGTCTATTTATCATGATTTTTATTTGATTTTATGTAGGCCAAAACATCAACTAAAGAAAATAATGATAACAAACTTACAGTCCAACCCATTTGAAAAAAATCGTCTCCAATCTTAACATGCATACGACAAGAACTGTATTGTGAAAATTTAACTTTAGGATTATAAACAGAAAGTTCCATTGATGCTTCGGTGTAGTATTTTCCTTGTTCTTCTTTAGTATGAGACACCGCAAACTAATCATCATCACCATTCATTGTCAACATTTGTTTTATGAGTTTTATGGAATAATATATTATATTGCATATATATTTTCTTGGATGAAAAATAGCAAATAATATGTTACTTACATGATGTTGGTTACTACCATCAATAGATGGATTATAAGTAAAATTCCAAGAATTTTGGGGCATATATGTTTCAAAGAATGAATCTGATATTAATATCTCATCTTTTGATGTCTCTCTTTATAGGTACAGTACCATTAGGACAACCTATACCATTTTTCCATAAGTAACTAAA